CGGCCACCTCCACGGACACGCTGGCGGTGGCCCACAGCGAAGGCGAGCCCCCGTCCCGCGCCGTCACCACCACCTCATAAGCAGAAACTCTCTCGCGGTCCAGGGCGCTGTCCAGCACCAACGAATAGTAATTTTTGAACGTAGACACCAGCTTGAAGGGGACGTCCGACGCCAGAGAGCATGTCACCTGTCCGTTGGCACTGGAGTCAGGGTCGGTTACACTAATTAGTGCAATAGCGGTACCCAGAGGAGCATCCTCTCGAACAGGGAGTGATAGTGACGTTACCACTAACTCTGGAGCATTATCATTGATGTCCAATATTTCTATCAAGATTGTGCAGTGACCAAACATAGGGGGATTGCCTTTGTCAACTGCTTCTATCTGCATTTTCCATAATTTAGTTTCTTCAAAATCTATTTTCCCATTTACTTTTATTTCTCCACTGGCTGAATCTATGCGAAAAGCGGCTTCTATGTTAGGGGAGATGTCAGTTGTGAAGGAATAAAGGATGTGGCTGTTTGAACCCTCATCCAAATCCGAAGCGTTAAGTCTAATAACCAACGTACCGTTTCTTGTATTTTCCAGTAATTTTACATGATAGACTGCTTTGCCAAACACCGGGGCGTTATCATTTACATCCAGCACCATGATATGTAACTCTACGGTGCCTGTCAGCTCAGGTTTGCCCCCATCAGTTGCTTTGAGCAACAAGAGAAGCTCTGAAGTAACTTCTCTATCCAAAGGTTTTTTTAATACAAGTCCAAGAGGTTTTACCTGCTCGTCATCCGTTGGTACTTCCACTGAGAAATACTCATTGGGGCTCAGTCTGTATGTCAGCACAGCATTGTCCCCAACATCTGCATCCGAGGCGCCCTCTAGTGAAAAACGAGAGTCAAGAGTCCTCGTTTCGGAAATAAACAGATTCTTCTGTGTCACTGGAAATACCGGCGGGTTGTCGTTAATGTCCTTCACCTCCACCTCCACATGGAAAACCTGCAGCGGCCTGTCCACGATCACTTCCAGGTGGATGCTGCACTCCGCGCTCCGCCCGCACAGCTCCTCCCGGTCGATCCGAGAATTCACAAACAAAACGCCATTCTGCAGATTTACCTCCAGAAGGTCCTCTCTGCCTTTGGACGCCACCCGGAACCGGCGCGGCACCAGCTCCGCCAGCTCCAGCCCCAGGTCCTGCGCGATGCGGCCCACGAAGGTGCCGTGTTTGGCCTCCTCGG